GCCGGTCAATGCTAGCACTACTGCTCTGCGCACGATAACTAAGTATCGCGCGTGGGTGAAGAGCTTGTAAGTCCACCATATGAGCTGCCAACGCAGAGATCTCAGGGCAGCACGGGCTATAGGTTTGCGGGGAAAAACTAAAAATGCGTACACGTGTGTATTCCATGACATTGATATTGCATTGGGGGGATATCAGACGATGCCATGCGTCACAGCACTGACATCCCCATGTAAGTAAGCCGACGCGCCCCAAGAGGCCCCGAGAGGCGCAACACAGGCCCCCGAGAGACCCCCAAGAGGCCCAAAACAGGCCCCCAGAGGCCCCAACACGGCCCCGAACAGGCTTCACACTTGCTCCGACGAGGCCCCCGAAAGACCTACCACGAGATCCCAGCGAACACCAAAGAGCCCTCTGACCCAGCGCCCAGGCACGGTGGCAGGATGGGTCGAAGGCCAGCAGATAAGTAAGCCAATGCGCCCATGTGGGGCGGCAAGTGCATCCGATATAATATCCAAATGCAGGGCGACGTCGAAACCGCGTGCCGCGTAAGGCATACTAGTGCAGATAAGAGTGAAGGGAAGGGGGGCGGCCTGGTATCGAAATTAACTGCGTCGCGAAGGTTGTCGAGCTACCCGCGTCGAGTGCTATGGGGGTCTGATACTCCCTTCAAAACGAGACAGCGAACACGAGACACCCGAATTTGGATACGCTCAACATAGGGAAACGATATTCAAACCGCGATGGTAATGCATTCCGTTATGACATGATTGACGACGGTGGTGATGACAACGATGACGATGACGAGCATGAAGGCGATTGTGATGATGACGATGGTGACGATGATTAGGCAATTGCTCATAATTCTGAGGGGGTCAAAAGCAAGTGTTCCTATGCCTCGGGAGTTGGGGGGCGTGGTTTTCAAACCATTCGTGGACTGCGCGCTGATAGCTGCGCCTCGGAAAGTAGCGAGGAGCGGACGACGCTGCGCTTTTTCAGGGCTGTAGTTGAGTCAACTACTTATTTAAATAAGTAGTTGAACCAACGGACAATTTAGTGAGGAGGACGAGGGGTTGGGGGCGAGGGTGAAGAGGACGAGGAGGGGGACGAGGAGCAAGGCATGGCATGACATAGATTGGGAAAGAGGTGATGAGGAGGGCGGCTGCGAAAAGAGGAGGAGCGGGAGGGGGAGCAGGAGGAGGGGGAGGAGCGAGAGGAACTACCCACCTCAAACCCAGGTTTGAGATGGGTAGGTGGGCCTCGCCTGCAGGGCCCCCCCCCTCGCCGAACAAGTCAAAGGTTAAAGGACTGGGTCGAACACTTATCCTCTGACCTTTGTACGTTCTGTCCTCACCAGGCGTGTAAATGTGAGACCAAGAAAACGAGACACCTGAAGTTATATATGCCTCAGACAAGGGGGCCCGAGTGAAAACACAGTCGGTCCATATGTCCTTGTGGCATAACTGATGACGACGATGATGACGACGATTGTGATACCAATCATGATGATGGTGACGGTGATGACAAGGCTTTGTGTTTTAAGTTGCGCTTCTAATTCTGAGAAGCACGGTTTTCGCAAGCTCATTGGGTTCGGTGTCATCTACGTCCTTTTCAGTCATCGCCATCTTGTCGGATGACACAACACATGAAAACCGTCATACCAAACTCACTTTTTAAACTGGTTGAGAATCCGCCCGATCAGCCAGCGCAACGGGTCGCGGGCCGGCCGCGAGGCAGCTATGTAGGTTTAACCCGCTGCCCTTTCTTCACCAAGAACCCCTGCAGGACGAGTCGCCGGCGCGCGGGTCGCGGCGGGTCGGGGCCGACGGCGACGAACAACAAGAGCACCAAGACAAATTACCGCAATCCCGCCCGAGGAAGCCCACTACAAGCACGCCCCCCAAGACAGTGTCAGACCGGTCGCCCCCCTCACTCCAATTTCGCGGCCATGATGAATTAGCCTGGCTCCGGAAAAACTAACCTGCTATGCTGCTAACTCATCGGTGCTGCCAGGCTACAAAATAGCATGCTTTGTCTTGGCCTGATACCCCGGGCCGGGGCGATCTGGGCAGAGGGCCCCAGACAGAGGCCCAGCGGAGACCCCAGAGTTCCAGGACAGCCCCGCAGAGCCCCACACAAGGCCAACACGGATGTCAAATGTGTCCGGCTGCGCCCGTGGCCCCCGATGGGGCCTCGCCGAGGCTACCCTGGCGGCGTCAGCGGCGACGAAACGAATGAGGCCCAGCCGAGGCTCCACGAGCGCCCCAGGACAGCCCCGCCGAGCCTCCGGACAACACCAACAAGGGTGTTAAATGTGTCCGGCCGCGCCCGCGGCCCCCGATGGGGCCTCGCCGAGGCTACACCGGCGGCGTCAGCGGCGCCCGATGGGGCCCCGCAAAGGCCCCTCGAGCGTTCCATGACAGCCCTGCAGAGCTCCTGGACAACCGCGAACGTGGATCCCCACGACGGCGCCAACGACGACGACGACGACGACGACGACGACGACGACGACGACGACGACGACGACGACGACGACGGCGGCGGCGGCGGCGGCGGCGGCGACGACGACGACGACGACGACGACGACGACGACGACGACGACGACGACGCGACGACGACGACGACGACGCTTCGAATGCTGACGTTCTCTCACGCGCTCGCTGGAGACGAGCAAAGACTTTCAAATATCAACTTGCGCGTATTTCGTTTTACGACTACTGCTTCACATTTCTTACCTGATGGACCCACAGAAACCAGTTACTTTAGAGTACCTTTACCAGATGACAGCAATTTCTTTTGCACGATGGTGTTGGGACCACTGGACCCTGAAGGCCCAAAACAAGCCCCAGACCCCACACCAAGCTCTCTAGATCACTCCGACCTGCCCCGGACCCACTCAAGAACTTCGGATCGTGGACCTCCCTCCAGCCCTGGATCAGGAAACCCTCAGACCATCACCCCTGTTGTAGCATCCGTCGGGTGCCCCCCGGAGGGCCGTACGGAGCCCCTGTTGGCCCCTGCTTGGGCCTTTTCGGGCCACACTGGAAGCCTTTCGGGCTCTTCTGTGGCTGGCGCCCAAAAGCCGCAAGAGGCTTTCAAAACGCTCCAGACAGGCTCGGAGGAGGTCCCAACGTGCCCTCGACACGCCCCCAGGGACGCCAGCGCTGTTCAACTTCGACGAGCTGTTCACCCACGGTGTGCGAACCCCAGGCTCAGCACACCGTCGACGAAATCCAGAGGTTCACGCTAGTCTGTACTACAATTCCGGGCGAAGCGCGCGCGAGAAGGTCAGGCAGTGGCAGCGCCCCGGGCCGCCCAGAGAGCTCGCGGGCCGCCCGGAGAGCCTCCGGGCCGCTGCCCGACGGGCCCGGGAGGCCCACAGACCGCTGGCGGACTGATCCAGGATTCCCAGATCGCCCCAAGACGGCCTCAGGAGGTCCCGAAGACGGCCCAAGACGGTCCAAGAGTGGATCCGAGACGCTCAAAATGGCTTCAAGACGCCTTCAAGACGGCCCGGGACGCGTCCACGAGGCCCCCATCGTTGATTTTCTTTGTTTTCCGATGTTTCTGGCCTTCTCGCGTTTTCGGCTTTCCGACGCTCCAAGACCGCCCAAGAGGCCCCCCAGACCGTTCCGAGACGGCCCAAGAGGCCTTCAAGACGGCCCCAAGACGGCCCAAGAGGGCCCCAAGACGGCCCAGGAGTCGCCCAAGACAGCCCAAGAGGGCCCCAAGAAGGCCCCAAGAGAGGCCCCAGACAGGGACACCCGGAACCGAAAAATTTAGGCCTCCACCCCAAGAGGCCCCCAGGAAGCCCCAAGACGCCCCAAAGAAACGCCGGGACGCTCCCAAGACATCCCCAGGAGGCCCCAGGACGCCCCAAAAGACCTCCAAGAGGCCCCAAAAGAGGGCCCAAGAGGCCCCAAGACGCCCCCAAACTGCTACCAAGAAGCCCCCAAACTGTCTCCCAGAGGCTCCCGAGAGGCCAGCCATGAGATCCCAACCAACATCCACGAGATCTCTTACCCATTACCCAGGCCCGCAGCGACATTGCCCGCAGGCCACTACAGCCAGTTCGGGGGCCCTACGTATACCAGCACCCGCACCATTGGCTGTATCGGGGGCCTCACCGCTGCTCTCTCGGTTCTGCTGGCTTCGATCTGCCAGAGCTCTCGAGACGGCCATCTCGACGGCCCGAGAACCCCGAGATGGCCCCAGGACCACCCTGCGCGGGCCCGCTAACGTGGCCCCTTCACTCTGACGGTGCTTGCAAACCCTTGAGTTTGCTGATCGCGCCCAGTCCCAGCGCGATTAGCAAAAACCCATTCCTTTCCACGCTTCCAGGTCAGTGCCCCCGCGGCTCCCCGACTGCTTTCCGAGATCGCCCCTGGACGTGGCCCCTTACGCGTCGGCCCCACGGGCGGCCTCCAAACGGGACCCCCAAAGGCGGCCCCCACACAAAGCCTCCGAGGGTCGCCCCAGTAAGCGTGGCCCCCGAACGCCAACCCCACGCGTAGCCCCCAGGCGCCCCCAAACGTGGCCCCAACACACACAGCCCCCAACCATTGCCCTCAAACGTGACCGTCACATCTGCCCCCGAACCCCACACCCTCAAACGCGACCGTCATATGTGCCCCCGAACCCCGCACGCGGCCCCCAAACATGGCCCCCAGCAGGGCCGCGAACGTTGGCCCCAACCATGACACCCTGACGAGACCCCCCAACGTGGCCCTCAAACGAGGCCCCCCAACGTAGCGCCCAACTCTGGCCCTCACGCGTCCACCCCCCACATCGAACTTCTCGCGCACAGGGACTCCGTAAGATCGCTCGGGCCCCCTTACTCTGATTGCGTCTGAAAACCTATGTGTTTCTGCTAATCGCGCCCAGGCCTCGCGCGATTAGCAAAAACACATTACTTTTGACGCTTCCAGTGCTTCCGACACGTGCGCGTTCGGGACCAATGCCTGGACCTGCGGGCCGTGGATTTTCCACGGGTTCACACTAGTCAGCTACAGTGCTGGGATCAGCGCGTGCGGGAAGGGCGAGCAGTGGCGACGGGCACTGGCGCTGCTGAGCGAGATGTGGGAGGCGAAGCTAGAGCCCAACATCGGCTACATCTTTACTGCGTTGCAGGGCCCCGCGCGTGCGGGAAAGGCGCTGGTTGCCCCGGTAGCTCCTCCTGGGGCGAGGCTCCGTCAGAGCCACCAGACGCCCGTGCCGCGACGCTTGTGGCGGCCAAGGGGTCCCGAGAGGCCCCCGAGAGCCCTCCAAGACGTCCGAGATAGCCTCCAGGCGGCCCGCGAGGCCCCCGAGATGCTCCAAGAGGGCTGCGAGAGGAGTCCTCAGACATCCCCAAGAAGCACACATCGTCCCGAGCATATGGCAAGGCGTTGTTTTTCGGCATGCTCGTGCTGCGTTTGCGAAGCGCCCCCGAGATCGCCCCAGCACGCTCCAAGAGGCCCTGCAGACGGCCCGAGACGGCGCCCGGTCCGCAGAGGAGGCGCCCCAGACGGCCCGAGGGGCGCCCAGACACGGCTCCAAGGGCGGCCCAAGACGGCACAAGAGGCCCCCAAGGCAGCCCCAAGACAGCCCCAAGACGGCCCGAGAGGCCCCCAAGACGGCCCCAGGAGGCCCCTCCTCATCCTCCTCCTCCTCCTCCTCCTCCTCCTCCTCCTCCTCCTCCTCCTCCTCCTCCTCCTCTTCCTCCTCCTCCTCCTCCTCCTAACACCTCCTCCTCCTCCTCCTCCTCATTATCCTCCTCCTCCTAACACCTCCTCCTCCTCCTAACACCTCCTCCTCCTCCTCCTCCTCCTCCTCCTCCTCCTCCTCCTCCTCCTCTCTGGGCCCCCAGAGGCCCCCAGAGGCCAGGCGGCCCCCGCGAGGCCGGCCCAGAAGGCTCCAAGGTGCGTTTCGGGAAGGCCCCGCGACGGCACACTCCTCAGGCTCCGTGGCAGCACAGCACGGGTGTGCGAGCAGAGCGGCCTGTTTCCCCGGGCCCGGCCGCGGCGGCGCTGCCTCTGCCGATCCGCTCGGGGGGCGATGCCGTGGCGCCCAGGCGGCTCCTAGCTCACCTCTCATCCGGCAGTGCCTGCCATGGCCCCGGAGTGCCCCGGCACGCCTCCAAGATGGCATGACCCCAGACAGCCCTACGAAGACCCCAGGGCGTTCCATTCAGCTCCGCGAGGACCCACGACGTCTATGGATAGCACCCAGAAGGCCCGAGAGGGCTTCCAGAGGGCGCCACGATGGCGCAAGAGGCTCCATGGAGAGCCAGAGACGGCCCAGGATGGTTTCACGAGGGCCTCAAGACGCCCCCCATACGGCCCTGGCGTGCGTTGCCTTCACATGGGGCCCCACACCCGATTCGGCACACCCCCTCACACGTTTCGTGGCCTCATGGGGGGCTCCACCGAACGCCCCAATGGCTGCGTTCGCATGGCGGCCCCGCCCCCGATTCGGCACACCTCTCGCACGTTGCGTTGTCCGAAGGCCCATTGACAGGGTCCGCGTTGCGGCCCCGCATCCGATTCGGCACACCCCTCGCACGTTTCGTGACCCCAGAGAGGGCCCAACCGAAGAGGATACTCGCAACCTCGTTACTCACAACTGCATATAGTTGGGTTCTTTGCCTGGAGAATTTTGTTCTCGTTCGGTTTTCCGCCGTGTCGGGCCCCCGACGCTCCAAGACAGCCCCAGAGGCCCACAATGTCGCCCCAACATTAAGTCGGGCGTGTCCTCCTACAGGGGGATTTTCGACGAAAAATAAAGAAATACGCCCAAAATAATCAAAAATATTCCAAAAATAGCCTGGGGACTATTTGTTGAGCATTTTTTTGCTATTTGGGGGTATTTTTGAATATTTTCTATGTTTCGCCCCAAATCCCCCTGTAAGGGGGACACGCCTGACTTAACCCCAACACGGCCCAACATGTCGCCACAGAGGACACCAAGACCGCCCGAGCGGCTCCCCAAGCAGCCCAGCACGGCCCCAGGGTCTCCCCAAGCAGGGGAGCTCGCCCTGACATCCTCTTCTCCTCTCCTCTCCTCTCCTCTCCTCTCCTCTCCTCTCCTCTCCTCTCCTCTCCTCTCCTCTCCTCTCCTCTCCTCTCTTCGACCTGACATCCCGCGCCCTCCGTCCCAAGACGAACCCCGAGGCCGTCGGCAGGCCCCCTGCAGCCCTCTCGGAGCCCAAGAGACCCAAGTGAGGTCCAAGAGGCCCCCGGAAGCTCCAAGACACCCCCAAACCTGGTCCCAAGAGGCCTCCGATGGAAGATGCCGCAGCGAGCTCTGGAACCGCGCCAGTCACCCACAAATGTGGTATCCAGGCGGTGATTTGTCCCGACCCTCCTGTGGTGTCGGGTTCTTGTTTTGAAGACACAGCGCCCCGCGTCCTCTCCTCCCCTCTCCTCCCCTCCCCTCTCCTCTCCTCTCTTCTCCTCTCCTCTCCTCTCCTCCTCCTCTCCTCTCCTCTCCTCTCCTCCTCCCTCCTCCCCCTCCTTCCTCCCGCGGCTCCTGCTGCTCCCACACCTGCCTCGGCCCTCCGCAAAGGCCCCAGTGGCTGCATTCGCATGGCTGTGCCCACCCCCTCGGCACACCCCTCGCAGGTTTCGTGGCCCCATAAGGGAGCTCCACCGAACGCCCCAGTGGCTGCGCTCGCACGGCGACCCCGCACCCGATTCGGCACACCCCTCGCCCGACTCTCGTGGGCCCATAGGGAGTGCCACGCAATGCCCAAGTGGCTGCGTTCGCATGGCGACCAGGCGTCCGATCCGGCACACCCCTCGTACGTTTCTCGTGACCACTAGGGGGCTCCATCGAGCGCCCCAGTGGCTGCGTTGACATGGCGGCCCCGCGCCCGATTTTGCACACCCCTCACACGTTTCGTGGCCCCATATAGAGGCTCCACCGAAGGCCCCAGTGGCTGCGCTCGGATGGCGGCCCCGCACCCGATCCGGCGCACCTCTCACACGTTCCGTGGCCCCAGAAGGAGCTCCGTTGAAGGCCCCGGTTTCTGCGTTTGCATGGCGGCCCCGCGCCCGATTCAGCACACCCCTCACATGTTTCTTGTGGCCCTGGTAGGGAGCTCCACCGAAGGCCACAGTGGCTGGAGTCGCATGGCGTCCCCGCACCCAGTTCGGCACACCCCTCATACGCTTCGTGGCCCAATAGAGGGCCCCAGCAGAGTTTACAGTAGCTGGAGTCGCATGGCGGCCCACCACTCACACGTTTCCCGTGGCCTCACAAGGAGCTCCACCGAAGCCTCCACTGGCTGCAGTCGCATGGCGGCCCCGCGCCCATCTCGGCATACTCCTCACGCTTCGCGGCCCCATAGTGAGCTCCTCCCAGGGCCCCAGTGGCTGCGTTCGAATGGCGGCCCCGCACCAGATTCGGCACACTCCTCGCACGCTTCGTGGCCCAATAGGGAGCTCCACCGAAGGCCCCAGTGGCTGCGTTCGCATGGCGGCCCCGCGCCCGACCCGGCACACCCCTCGCACATTTCCCGTGGGGAGCTCCACCGAAGGCCCCGGTGGCTGCAGCCGCATGGCGGCCCCGCGCCCATCTCGGCATACTCCTCACGCTTCGCGGCCCCATAGTGAGCTCCTCCCAGGGCCCCAGTGGCTGCGTTCGAATGGCGGCCCCGCACCAGATTCGCACGCTTCGTGGCCCAATAGGGAGCTCCACCGAAGGCCCCAGTGGCTGCGTTCGCATGGCGGCCCCGCGCCCGACCGGGCACACCCCTCGCACATTTCCCGTGGGGAGCTCCACCGAAGGCCCCGGTGGCTGCAGCCGCATGGCGGCCCCGCACCCTGCTCGGCACGCCCGCGGAAGGCCCCGGCGACAGGTGCTGCATGCGGGCGTCGCACCGATCCTCCTCCTCCTCCTCCTCCTCCTCCTCCTCCTCCTCCACCTCCTCCTCCTCCTCCTCCTCCTCCTCCTCCTCCTCTTCCTCCTCCTCCTCCTCCTCCCCCTCCTCCTCCTCCCCCTCCTCCTCCTCCTCCCGGCGCACCCCTCACACGTTTCTCGCGGCCCCGTGGGGAGCTCCACCGAGAGCTCCAGTGGCTGCGTTCGTATGGTGACCCCGCGCCCGTTTCGGCACACCCCTCGTACGTTTCGTGGCCCCACGGTCGGAGGTGTTTGGTCCTACCTCTCTTCCGCTTCCCAGCAAATCCAAGTCATACGATGCACCCCGTGAGCGGCAGCACGGGAGTCAGCGCCCCCCCGCCGCATCGCACTGACAAGCCACTGAATTCCCAGATATAGTCCAGGACGACGCGAGGTATCGCACTGGAGCGACTTGGTATAATACCGGAAAGCCTCGATATTGTACCAAGGCATTCTCCGGTTCGGTACAGGAAAATTGTGGTACAATGCCAGAAAAGTTGCAATTGTATCAAACGCGTTTGGTACTATATTAAGTTCGCGTTTGTAGTGCGATTTTACACATGCTGGTCCTGGCGGAAGTGCCCTTGGTACGATACCGGAAAACATTGATATAATACAGAGTTTTTTCCGGTATTGTGACGGAGCGTCGCTTGGTACGATAATTTACGATACCTTGCGTCGTCTGGGACAGTGCTTAGGAGATCTGTGGTTCGGCAGTGCGGAGTGTTGGGGACGCGCTGCGAAACTAGGTAAGATCGGCGGGCATGTTGATCATATTTGACCCCCGAGATCGCGGTCGCGTCCCCGGCGAGCAAGTTGGTATTGGCCAGCTTCCCGTTTGGAAGCTGGGGTGGTCAAAAGCGGGGTAGGTTTTTCGCCTTCTAGCATAACGGGCTTCACCGAGGAGGACCTCGTTATTCACAGCTTCTCATGGTCGGGGTCTTTGCCAGAGTAATTTCCTCCCTTCGTTGGAGCGGCCCCCATCTGACTGTGCGACCCGTCGGGGGGTTCTCCCGGACAGTGCTCCGGAACCGCCAGCCGCCAGCCACAGGGGGCATGTTGCTCCGCAGTGCCTTCTGCCTTCTGCCTTGGCAGGCAGAGAATACTGCCCCAGGCCGGCTCAGGATCATCCCCGTGCGGCCCAAGAGACGCCCCTTCCCGCAGCCCCTTCACCCGTCGAAGGTAGCCCAAGAAGCCACAAAGAAGACATGAGAATGCCGAGATTCA